ATTTGTTTGAATCACTTGCACTTGATGATGAGTCAATGGGTGACTTATTCAATGATTCCTTTTCTTCCACAGTATCAGCTTCACCGAATTTCTCAACTTCATCATCTAGTTTTTCAACTGATTTAGATTTGCGTGATAAACCATTGTTTAATTTATTTTTACTATTCCATTTATTCAAAGATGATTCTGTAGATGGCATATTTAAATTTTGGTCAGTTTCAGTTAGTAAATTTCTATCTACTGAGTCTTCAATTGAAGTAGTATTTGCAGGTGTAAATTGATTAGATACTTCGATTGTACTAGCTTTTCTGGGAGATACATTTTGTATGTCTTTTATCTGATTTTGCATAGGCTCTTTTCGATCTTGTGATTCAACTTCTAGATTATTCGTATCACTTTTTATCTCGTTAATTTCTTCCTGTTGCATAGATTTTCTAGTATTTATTACTTCAGCTAATTTATTTTTATTCATTTCGCATTGAACCTTTGATACAGTCACACTTTCTTCTCTTTTTTCTTTCAATTCATCCTTTTGCGTTTTCAGTAGAACTGTATCCTCTGAATCGTAATCTAATGCTATCTTCTCTTTATCGATGTTTGTATTTTCTGGTGTTTGGGACGATTCCTTATCAACCAAAACAAAATCATCACATTCATTCTCACTTTCGTTTTCTAATCGTTCAGTTGACATGGAGTGCACAGAATTTGTCTCACAAATCTTATCTCTCCATTCATCGGCTGAAATATCTTTAAATAATTCTCTAGATACATTTGCATCGGACTGATTCTCGTCTTCCGGCTTTTCGTCATGCTTTTCAAACATTTTAGGAATTTCATTTTCTTCCATTTTATTCTGTGTGTCGGAATCAGTAATAGATTTCCTTTCGGACGTCGCGCTGTCATGAAGTTTACAGATGTTTAGAGTCTCGTCATCTTTTTCAAGTACTTTGTCAATAGATTCAGCTGAAGACTGTGCATCACTGCAAGATTTATTATTTTCAGTTTCATTAGTAATATTATCTTTATCTGTTACTACACTAGTAGTTTCAATATCAGTTAATTTGATATCAACATCTGAAGATTCTTTCCCTACATTTTCTTGACTAGGAGTTTCTGTAACCATTTCGATACCTGCAGAATCGTCTTTAGTAGAATCATTGGTCGCTAATGACAAAGATGTAGTTGTCTTCGATATAGATATGTCAGACCAGTTGGAACAGTTCATAATATCTGCATCTGTTACGTTTTTGGATATATTTGAAGTTGCAGTTTCTTCGTTCGCTTCACATTTATCACTTGCATATTCAATGGGAGTTAAACAAACGTCTTTCGGATCCCCCTCATGTGTATTAGTGTGTGCTTTTGGAGTTAAAGGCTGCCCAACATTTTTATCGTTATTAATTATTTTATCTTCCGTAGTAATATTCTGTAGTTGTTCTTCCATACTGTCTTCCAATCTAAGAGACTCGTCAGCGCCTATTTCATCATCTCTATTTGAATCAACATTTATATCTGCAGATGTATTCTGATCTTCACTACACAGGCTTAATAATTTTATTTCATTAACATTATCTGGACATTTCAAAATTTGAATTGGTAGACTTGAATCTTCGCATACTTCAATAGATGAAACTTTCTTCTTTATACTCTCATTAAGTGGACTTTCATTTAATGAGTCTGTGTCAGTTACCATCACATTTTGCATATTATCTGAGCTGTCTGCATTTTCATTACTTTCTTTGACTGATTTTCCAACACATAAATTACTCACTGCAAGTTTTGGACTTTGCAATAATACATTGGAAACTGTGACATCTGTATTTTTAGAATTGTCAATAATATTTGCCTCTTGGTTCTCCTTGTTACCGAGAATTTCATCATCTTCTTTTATAGAATTGTTTGCATAGCTTCCATTTTTCATTCCCAATTTTCTGGGTGTGACTTCTTCTTTTTGAGCCTGTGTTTTTGTTACATCTTCTATCGGTGACTCCACTTGTGTAGTATTTATAGAATCATTTATACTTTCACTATTATCTGATACTATGAGTTTATTAATAGACGTATCCATTTTTACTTCTTCAACTGCTTTTATAGGAGAATTTTCCGCAGGATTAGTGTTTTCTTTTCTGGCTGTAATGATTTTGAATATAAATTAAATTAAAACTGGATCTTTTATCATTATTATCATAATAAAATAATTTTTTAATTCTTTGTTATTTGCTTAAAGCTGAAATATTACATGTAGAAACTAGTTTTCAATTTTGTATAATATAAGATTTTATTTTAAATTAAAATCTAATCTGATTGATGAAAAGTGAAAATCTCTTTATGAACTTAATATATGTATAATATGAATGTAAAAAACAAGATAGTTTATTTGAATGAATCA